AACGCCTGGTCCCACACCCTTGCCTCTTTACATCTCTTTGGGATTTGCTTTTTCTTGTGTTCCAGCCCTTAATCCCTGCCACCCAAGACCCTCTCCTATTTTCCTTGTGTTTATTTCTGCCTACAAGAAAGGAGCCTGGTTCATCTGCATCCTTCCATCACCCTGGGCTAGGCCAGATCTCATAGATCTCTGTCAGCAGCAGCCATGGGAGGCTGAGGCATGAGGGCAGTTACAGCCCCTCAGACTGCACAGAAGGGAGGCAGGGGGACATGCCTGAATAAATGACCCTTAAATCTTTAAAAATGAAGTTCTTTAGGGATATATGCATCTCTGCAGTTTTTTTTCTGTGGTGTAGCCTATGGCTGAGGTTTTGCATTGTGAGTTGAGTTTTTCCTTGCATTTTAGCTTTGATAATTTTTCAAAGGCAAAGAATAATATCAGACCTACTGTGAGCTTCCCACACAAGGGTGGTGATTGTGTGCTGCCCAGAGGTCGTTTTTCTTCCAAAGTGAACCAGACATCTGAAACAGAAACTTCATTGTTTGGCAACACTGAAATACAAGCTAAATATTTTTACAGTACAGTTCTATGGGACCAGGGCATTTCTGTCGCCAGTGAGATCACACTTGTGTGCAGCTTTAATTGCACCTAGTTGAGACAGTTTTCTCAACTAGGAATACAATAGCCACAAAAATGACACTATTGATTTTAAAAGTAATCGTCACCAAGAATCATGTACACTCTCATGGAAATCCTACACCTCGTTCTGTATGTGTTATGCCTATCATATGAAGTGGCTGAGTTTTATTTCACTGAAAAAAGGGAATAAATTGATTATTTTCTACCACATTTATTTTCATTCACAACTCACTTGGCCCTTGTGAAATCTTTGGGCTTTGTAATCGTGTTCACACCCCTTTTTGGGAGGAGGTCTGTTATCAGGTGAATTATGAAACAGTATTTATTTGGGTATTGATTTTGAAAAAGGAAAGCTGTTTTTTGTTTCAATTCTTTCTTCATCTTTAAGTTTTTAATTTATCTGCATGTGCCTGTAAAGCAATTTGGCATAATCCTTCCAATAGTAGACTTTGATTTGCCTGTGTAATTTTCTTTTAAGGGATTATGTACTTTTCTTTTATGAAGATACACTCAGTTAAAACATGGCTTTTAAAAGTGACGAAGTAAAAGGAAATTTAATTGAAAGTACTGTGATATGTTTGAATAGGCTCACATATAGGCTCACATATAGGCTCACATTGGCATGCTGAGTTCTGTTTTGCAGTACTAGGAGGGTAAACTTTTTTTTTTTTTTTTGAGGCAAGTCAGCTATCTATGATTGGATCTGTCATTCAGGACAACCTAGTATGTCTGATAACAGGTTATTTGTTACAGATGAATGTGTCACGTGATTGGCTGCAAGCATAAATTCAAGCTACTTTCTAACCGGTGCTCATTGTAATTAATCTAAGCCTGGGCAATATCAATGTTTAAACAAGGTAACAGGAGCTACAACTTGTAAGTCTGAAGCAATGAAATGTATGCAGTGTGGAAGTTCTGCCCTTCTGCTGTTGTGTCTGATGTGCTTTTCTGACGTTTTTTGGGTGCTGTTGTTCTTCAGTGTAGCTTGCTAAACTCGTCCTATGGTTTTCTGTTATATTTTAACTGAGGTGGATTTCTCTGAAGAGCACAGCCTTGGCCTATGTGGTAATAGAAATGCTAGCAATGGGCAAATCTCACTTTACTGGTTCCAACTACCGCTGCTGGAAGGAGGTTGTGAACTTAAAGGTGACCTCTACTAAAACTTTTCTACTTTGAGATCCCTCTGGAGGGCTAGCAGAAATTTGGTGTGAAGTGCAGACATGATGAGCCTTGTAAATGTTTTTGATTGATTGGGTAGCCGACCTGGGAGACAAACTGAAATAGCCAGAAACACCAAGAATTATTGTGTAGTCAATTATTCACACAAGTCTGAACAAAACATTTGCTCCCCTGCAATGATTTCAAGACTTACTGCTGAAGCAGTGTTTATCAAACCTTGTTTCTATTCTGCAGATAGGCAGATGGGAAAGAGGCTGAAGGTGTGCATGACCTGTGGTGTCTGCTCAGGCTGAAGGCATTTTACCCACAGTGTGGCTCCCAAGAACAGCATAGAGCTGGTCTGCTGGTGTCATGTTGACACTTGCAGATCAGGAAGAGCATAGCCTTCCTCAGGAATAGTTGCTGTTAATGGCACTGTGGAAAGATGTGGCTCTGCTCCATGGAATGCAGCATGTTGCCTGTTTACGGCTTGAGTTCCTTCACAAGTAGATTTGGTTTTGTTTTGTTGGAGGCTGTATGGTGATGCAAGCAGGAAGGAAATAACAGCTAAAGCTGGTATGTATTCTTTGAAGGCTTTTATAGGATGAAGACAGCTCTTGTTAGACCGCCTGCTGAGCTCGGCAAACTGGTTTGGTTTGAAGGACTGAGAGCCTAGCTAAACGACAGGAACAAAGTATTTTTCTGGTACATAAGTCTGTCTGGAAGGGGAGATGGCAACCCTGGAGAGCCCATTCAAGAACATCAGGCTGACACTGGCACTTGAATATATGAGCCTTGATTCTAGGCTGACACATAGGGTAAGAGAAATATGTGTGAAATTTGTAAAGCCCATATCAATACTACTTTATAAAATAAATATCCCTCTGCTATGAAGGGGACCAGATGGCGCATTCATGGTCACTGCTCTCTCCTTGGCCTCCTTGAGGGAGGAACTGCAGATATCAAACTTGGCCACCTCTGCTGGGTGCAGGTGCTGGTGCACAGAAAGCTGGTGCCCAGGGCCTGGGAGACTTGAAACAGGGGAGTGCTGGCGTGTAACCCCCAGTGAGTTGTGGCACCAGCTGCAGGGTGAGGGAAGGCAGGAAGCATGGAGAAAGAGGAGGGCATGTAGCCAGTTCCACAACTGTATGGCCGCATAAACAGAAATGCCATGTCAATAAGAAGCTTTCCACGACAGCTGCCTGGAGCTGAGGTGCTGAACCTTTGCTGTAGGCGTTGCAGCTTTTGATGGGATGGACTTTAGAGTGATCTAAGATTAGTCCTGAGAAGTGTCACGTGGGTTCGTGCCTGACTTTGAGTGTCAGGCTTGCTAGTTTTAGTCTGCTATCCCTTTCAGGCTATTTCTTCCTGCCAGTTTAATTCACACAGACACACACACCAAAAAAACCCAAACCAAACCAAAACAAAAAAAACCCCAAAAAACAGGAGTCCAGAGACATGTCTGAGCTTTTCAGAGAAATAAAACATTCAGAAGTATCTAAAATTTAACTTTGTCTGTGCTACTTTTGACCATCACAATATTGTAAGGATATTGCATTTTACAATTGGAGTTATGGGTTTGTTTGTTTTGTGAACTAAATGTTTTTGGTATCTGAAAGATGTTGCTCAGTAGCCGAAGACATTAAGTTCACCAGTATTCATGAAGTTCCCAAATTATAGTGCCAGGTGTTTTTCTTGCAGCTGAAATAAGTGCTGTGTGTATGTTTCAGTGGCAAGTACACACATATCCTCTTTTTTCTTGTTCAGCTAATCAGCTTTCGTTATCCAGTAATTAAGTTAAATCTGAATTTCCATTTTCAAAATATAACCTTTGTATTTCTGCCGCGTAAACTTCAGAATAAGTTTGAATACATTTGCCCCACTTTGGCAATAATTTCTACTGACTTAACTAATTAGAGGAACAATCCACAACTGTCCTAAATCTCCTAACCTAGAAAAAAAAAAACCCAAAACTCTCAAACTCTTAAAACTCCTTCCCCATCCAATACACCTCTCTTCTGCGTGCATTGTGTTATTGAAGACTACAGCCATCTTCCTGTTGCATAGAGCTGCTTTAAGCCAGTAAGTCCTACCAGCCACATGCCTGACTGGCTGTATGTCATAAGTTGAGCTCTAAATGATGAGATCCCTAGCATGCTGTTGCAGGGATGCCGTTTAAGCATCCTTATAACATTTTTTTTTTCCCCTAGCTTTGCTGCTGATGGCTCTGTCTGTGTGCAGGTGTCTTGTAGCATTTGCCTCTTTACAGCAGTGACATTTGTTTTACATGGTCCTTGCTAGATAACCTGAAAAGCAGTAATCCGTCAGCAGCTGGGAATGTTACTTTTTGGTGATGAAGAAATAAAGCGAAAATACAGGGAGAGACTTGTGAAGATGGTGCGGGTAGCTCTTGTAACTGCTTCTGCCAATATTCTCTCCTTTGCTGAAGTGAAATTATGAATGCTTAGAATCTGTAAGTGTAGTTTTAATAGGCATGAGGATGCAGGTCTTGTTAGTATGTACTTTGCTACAGACTATGCTGTGTTCTGAGAAATTACAACTCTACTTATAAGCCATATTGCTTTCCTTGGAATAATAGAATTTGTGAGAGAAACTGATAAATGACATTTTTCCTTTTCATCAGTCTTTATACCCTTGCATTTCAAGACAAAAAAAGGCTTGTGCCAGCACTGTGTAAGTGGATACTTTTTTTTTTTTTTTAAATCATTGCTGCTTGCTAGCATTTTTGATGTGGCTAGATGGGTGTTTTTACAGCCAGGTCACTGTTCCATACAGCTGAGGCAAGCTGGATTCTTGGTGCTCTCACCTGTTTATTGTCTTAATTATGCCAGGTGAAACAACTGAAAAGCTGTCTTTGATACTGTGAGGGGCAGTTCAACAGTATCATGTTGCGAGAAGAGAATATCAAAAGTGTTAAGATAAGCACTGGTCATTTTACTTGTGTTTGGAAGTATGTGGATTACATTAGTGAGTTTTGGAAAGGCAAGAGTTTTGAGACTGTACTGTGGACTGTTAAATACACCATCTGTGGAGGATGTGCAATTTTGTAGATAAACCACTAGATTTCATGCCAGTGGATGCATGTTTGTTTTCTCTGGAAAGTGTGAATGCTGAATGCTGCAGCTATTTTGGTCCTTGTTAACCTTACTTGCCTGGAGAAGTAACTATTGTGTATCTTGCAGCCCAGTTTAATGGAGGTGAGAAATGGCAGGCATCTCCTTCTCCCTCAAATGACCGACGCAGGCAGTTACGAGCACCCGGAGGAAGCTTTAAACCCGTCAAACATGGCAGTCCAGAATTTTGTGGAATCCTTGGAGAGAGAATAGATCCAACTATTCCACTGGAAAGACAGATGTAAGTAAGCCCAGTAATTGCTCTCTCCCTCTTTGCCCCCCGCTTTCAGGAGCAGCAGATGTCCTCCATCCTGCTGTCCAGCCCCTCTTCCTCTATATCCCCTGTGTTAATGCTCGCAAAAAGTTATTCTTATTAATTCTGCAAAGCTTAAGTAATTTCTTAAATAGGAACCTCTTTGAACTCACCTTGGAGATGGTAAATTTTATCTGCCAAGTCACATATGGCTTATTCCACTTTTATCTATGTTATTTCATTACTTTGGGGAAAGTAGGTGTGTATCACATACATCTGAAGTGTGCTTTAGAGCTTAATGAATTCCATATATTTATGGTTGTGTAGCATACTTCTGGTATCTCACATGTGCTAGCTGTAACACTGCTCTAGGGAGAGATTGATGAGACCGCTTACAGAGCTTTCAGAAGAGAGGCGGTTATTTCCACTGTGGTGTTACCGAACTCAGGATGGTATGTAGAGGTGGCTTTGTCAGCTCCAAATTCAAGCTATGGGGGAATTCTCTTGAGTGAATGTCTGTTATCCAAAAGGGTGACCTCTGTCCTGCCTCCCCTGACCCATTTGGATAGGCTGGTTTGTGTGCCACTGTCGTATACCATACGAAAGGTGCAGCATCAAACATGGGACTGGAATCCCATCTAATCCAAAAGAAAGGAGGAAAAAAAACCACCTTATCATGGTATAGTTTGTGATAGTTGGACTGTTATTTGTGGCCACTGATGAGTCCAAGAAATTCACACAGTAGGATGAGGGAACTGTCTTGAATCCATCAAAGTGGTTCTACTCCAGACCATAATGTTGTAAGTTAGATGGAAAATCTCTTTTCATAGAAGAGAGAGGGCATAACTTAGCATGCAGTTGAATGCTCTCTGAGTGGAAAAACTTTGTCCTTGAGTGGTAGAGTTAGTGGTGAATCCTGTCACACCTCAAATCCTCAATACGAGAGAATACTTGTGTCTGTCAGTTGTAGGTGAGGGAGGGATGGAGGTTCCAGAAGTTCCTTTTCCTTTGGCACTCTGTTTTTACATTCAGCACTCAGGCTCTTAAGCTTGAGAGGGAGAATAATATCACCCACATGGTATCATGTTCCACCTCATTAACCACAGCCAAAGCTTTGAGGCACCTGCTCATTGACAGCGGGTAGATGCATCTCCAACACAGGGAATAGCACCCTCTTTTGTGAAATCACTCACTGAATGTACTGCAGATAAGTGATTAAAATGCTAAATGTTTGTCTATAAAGTTTGGTCTTCAGACGTGACTAGTTCTAGCCCAAAAATACGTTTAAAATACTGCAAAAAGTTGAGCATACGATAACTAACTTTTGACTCTCATATAGGTTATTGTGTAGTTCACTCTTTTAGTATATCTGCTGAACGTTTTTGGTAACCTGTTTAATCCATAGGGCACTCTAATGTTCATATTTAGTCCTTAATTTGCAGTAGTCACAGTAGGCATGTTGATCACTGCAATTTAAAACTAAAGACTGCAGATGTAGCCCACTGCAATAATTAAAGGAGATAAAACTATTCATACTGGATTCTTTTTGGTTCTTATTTATGCAGGATCAATTGTGAAACGACTGTGCAATTAACAATGTATCAGAAAATGGAATAGCTTGGATTTATTGTACTGTAGATTAATCATACTCATCTGAACTGATCACGTTTTAGTAGTGAGAGCTCTCCGCAGCATCTACCAAGCTAGTCCCTTGTTCTTTCTCTCTACAGATATGGTCCCTGTTTTAGTGGAGAGCAGGATCTGGAGGAAACATGTTAATTAAGAAGTAAATTAGCAAAGTGTAGGCTAGGAACTTTCCCAAACAGACTGAAATACCAAGGTATGATAATATATCAAGCAATGAGTTGGCTGTGATTAAGGAATCCCTGTCTGTGAACTTAGTAGCTCATGGACACAGGGAAATTGAATGAAAATGTTCCACTTCTTCAAAGTAACAATGAAAAAAGAAAAGTGTGCTCTACTTTGTTCCCTGCATCTTGTGGAAAGTGAATCCCTCCCAGCCTTATATGCAAAATCTAGTGACTTCGTGTTTTGTTGTGACCAGTTCAGAAACAGATCAATGTTGTGCGTGTTATGAGCTATGATAACTGATTGCACCTACTTCATAACTGGTGCAGCTGTCCAGTCTTCAGTGGAGCTGTGGCCACTGAGAGCTGAAATCTGACCATTGACAAAATCAGGGACATCAAGAAGAATGTCTACAAGTCACAGGTCAGGATGCTTTCGATTAATCTTGGGAGGAGATTGTGATAAAGGTAGAAGTACATTGTTCTCGATTTGTATTTTGTGCCTGTATTTTTCCCAGCTATCTTAGAAGAAATGAAAATGTTCATGTTCTTATGTCTAACACTTTTTCACTGGTATGTTTCTGAAGTATCATTTCACTCTTCTGTGAACATATTCTTGACATTTGAGTCTTAACCTTTCTGTACGAGTATCTGTATGTTTACATTTAAAGAATAGACATGCCCAAGGAGAAAAGCTGCAATACAGTTGAAACAGCAGATTAGTCAAGAACTTTAAGCTGATTATAGCACCATGCTTATCTCTCTTGATACTTGGAACATGAACAGTCTGACTGTTTCTTCTCCACTGGCATGTGATGCACAAAGAATTATACTTCTGAATACTCACATTTACTCTTAGCTGTAGCCAGAAGAGGTTCTGTGAGTCATTTTTCAGATCAGATGTTCTCCGTCAGCAGTCCTCTATACTTTGTTGTTCTTCTCCCAACTCTATTTTTGAAAGTCAGTAGTTTTGTTTCTTGGAACCAACTTGATGCTCTTTGTCCATGAGCCTGAGTCTGTCCACTGGGGAACGCCAGGCCCAAAGAATAGATGAAATACTTCCGTTTGAATCTTGGGTTTCAGGACAGCGCCCTAGTTTTGGCTGGGCTTTTGTTTCATTTTGGTTTTATTTGCCACTTTCCTTGAGAGAACAGAAAGAGAAATGATTTATAGCAATAGGAATAATTTTAGATTCTTTCCCAGTTCCATTTTCTGATTGACTCTTATTAATTTAGCCTTCTTCTCTTATGCTCAGAATGCAATCTAGGCTTTAAATTACTTATTGAGAAATACCCTTCAGCAGTAAGTTGCTGATGGGAGAAGAGGGATCATTGTCTAAAAGCGATCATGCTTGTGCATCCTTCATTGCCGCTTGTGATGTGACTGAGCAGTCACAGCATCCCTTTATCTTGAGTATACGATAGTTTAACCTTTCTGTTTGCTTTCTCTAATGCAGACTCTGGCTGCAACAAGAGCAGGCACATGATAAATTTTTAATTTGATCACCATTTTTGTTTGGTGCATTCGCCAGATTCGACAACAGAGCTGATGTTAGCACAAGGTAGTTAAGAGCGTGACTCCTGTGAAAGGAATCTCTCTGATATTCACTTAGCTTTTAGGTAGAGCAGCTCCCTTCTTGGAGGAGGTTAGCAGGGAAATAAATGTAGAATAAATGTAAGGAAACAGTTTTGCACACGCCAGTCATGGTTCCTGGCACTGACTGGCAGAGAGCATTTCTGATGTATGCATCCTAAGCTGACAGAGTAGCATCTTCTCATGCTTTGAAGTGCAGCTGGCAGCTGCAGGAAGGGGGAGATTTCCCTTAGAGATGTGATTGATTCAGTGCAGTGCCGGGCACATTATGTGGCTGGGGAAAGTTGGGGGAAGGATCTGCTGTTCTTCAAAGCCGTTTATTACTGGATTGCAATACCAGCATACTTGATTACCGCATTACTTGATGCGGTGCAGCGTGTGTTGAAGAGATTCTTTACTTGCAATGGTCAGTTTAATGAAGGGTCTTCCTTTTCTCCTGAGTTTCTTTTTTCCCAGCGTAGAAGTGCTTTCAGAATTGGTCTGCCTTTTCCACAGATTTCCTCAAGGATTTTTTACTAAAAGCACTCTGGAATTTTCCCAACTGTATTCAGAAAGTGTCTTTGTCTTTGGTCTTCACACTGAGGAAACAGATACCCTTCTTTATGGTTTTCTCCTTTCTTAAAGATTTTTTTGCAAATCTTTTCCCGTATTAATTGTTTGTATTCTTCAGAAGTGGTTTTGTTTGCCTTCTGTTGAAATGCTGTTGTAGTATGAGGAAACAATAGAGTAAGTGTGTATACTGGGGGATCTGGTACTTGCAAGTTAGAGGTTACAATGTGCTGCTCTTGATGAGAATTTATTACATAAATATTTACATCAATCCTGTCACATGTTGTCCTGATCTAAACTTTTCCCTTCAGCAGAAAGGAATTACAAGCTGTCCCAAGCTTAATGTTAACTTCAGATAAGGCAAGCAATGTGCTTTTTATTCTTAAGATGTTAGATTTTTAAATATCGTTTAAATTTCATTTAAATGTCATTTATTCATACCTTAAAGGAAAAAAGTGGCGAAAGCGGTATCGGTTGGAATACTCATGTCTAAATCTCTCTGCTTTTTCCTAGATGGTATCATGGAGCAATCAGTCGGACAGATGCAGAAAATCTGTTACGTTTATGTAAAGAGTGTAGCTACCTTGTAAGAAATAGTCAAACAAGCAAGCACGACTATTCTCTTTCACTGAAGTAAGTACCTGTCAATAAAACATATAAATGTAATTTTTAAGCCATAACTTTTGTGCTGCAAGAAGAGAAAATGAGCCAGTCTGTTGCACCAGTTCAGTTCAGTAAAGCACCTAGAGGATTCGAGACTGGCCTGCATGATGTATAGTGATAATCCCTGATTTGGGATCTGATAAGAGATTTTCAGTCTTCCTTTGGGGCTCATTTAACAAAATAAACTTGGAGTTTACTGTGCATCTGATTTGAAATGCTACTGCTGCTTCTGCTTTTATTTCAGCTTTAGCAACTGTATAGTTTGGGATTTTATTCTTTTTTAAAAGGCTCTTCGGTCATGGAAGGAAAGAAGCTTTGTGTGGTTTACTGTGGTAGAAGTGGGCAGCGTTGTTACTGGTTCTTGCCAGGATCAAGGCTGAAAGATCTTCAGAATTAGGAAACGAGTCTTGTTGCAGTGTTTTAGTGCCACTTTTAACTCGTGTCACTTACTGATGAGGGTACGTTACAAACTTCAGCTTCAACATACGCTCACTTGCATTTCCAGCAGAGGAAGTTTCCAGGTTCCGAGGTTTTCTATGCATGAGAACAAGACTTTTGGCCTTGGTAGTGGGTATACAGGTGTAACGAGGATTGTTTCTGTGCTTTTTGTTTTCTGGGATAGGATCTGATGTGGAAAAGCCCTGTGACACAGGCCCACTTGCCTTGTTTACTGTTGTTACTGTTGACGGTCTGGCTTTTACACTGTTTCTTCACGGAGCTGTGCTAGAGGCACGTTTTTTCCTCTGGGATGATGGTAACACTTTCAAAAACAGCTCTAACGTGCACATGCAAAGAGGCGTTTGTACATTCTCCGGTTCACTAGAAATAAAGGGCCACATCTTTCCTGGCTTAGCCTAATGGTCTAAATAGTAGATTTCCGATTGCTTTCATATCCCTACTTTGGGTCGAGCAGGAGTGCATCTGTTACCCAGTTTTAGGATGTGGTCTGAAAGTATTTTTCTTAAGCGCTAAAACAGTTATTAAAATACAGATTTCTCTGTTACTGTTGTTGTGATCTCTCTGTAATACAGATGTCTGCCTTGAACAACTGGAACACTCTTGTTTTAGAAACTACGTTCAGCCCCTGTTGTCCCTTTTGTCATTTGATCTGTGCATTCTCTGATGTCATGTTCCTCCAGTTATTTGAAAACATTGGGGCATATATTATCAGCCATTCAGATATAAGTAGGCTTAAATTTTCCTTTTCATATTCTGGAAGTCTTGATATATGACTTCTGTTATTAAATCATACCATAGAACTACACTTAATTCTTATATCAGCCATGTGATTTTTGTTATCTAACCAGAGCACACCTTTAGGAAAAAAGCTAAGAAAGCTCACTTTCTGTGCATCTGCTGCAGTAGTTAATTACCCTTTCTCTGCACCACCTACATCTTTATTTCTTCTTAATTCTTAATAAATAAATAAATGCACATCTGAATGCTGGCCCTTGCGGGCCCTTTTGCCTGTTACATTAGTGAGATTTCCAACCCAGATTTCCTGGTAGTACTTATTTTAAATGTCCTGCAACTTGCTCTATGGTAAGGTAGTTAAATAGACTGACCTTCTCCCATATAGTTATCAAAACCAGAGCTGACTCTATGCTCTTGATGCAGTCTGTTAATTCTATGCGTCAGCGCCGTGTGATGTTCATTATTCTCCTGTGGCCCCTGCAGCGCTCACATAATCCTCTTGTGCATGGTATCACGCTCAGAATTCATGTCCTGTTCATTAGTCAGTGATGGTTATGTTCTTTGGGGTTTTTTTGTTTTTGTTTTTTAAGAGGAGCTCACCAGCGTTCTTTCTCCCAAAGTATCCAGCTGATGTTGTGTTGCTTAACCACAGTTTAGTTACCGTACAAACCCACTTGCTCAGCTAGCAACCAATTTCTATTTTATTTGGCATCTCAAGGACTATTATCACTTGCAAACTGCTCACAAAGTTCATGTCTGGTACCAGTGTTTTGTCACATCTGATTCTTACTCACTGCCATCTGGCTCTCCACCCCTTCTCCTCACATTTAGGACATGCCATGTAGAATTTATTGTTGTTTTCTAATACTATGTTGATGAGGATGGTTTTCCAAGTAAAGTAGGGTTAGAGGGGTTTTTTTTTTTTGATAATGGAGTAATGTTGTTCTTTAAGCTCAAATAGCTAAGTTTTTGGATAACTCTCTTGTTTCATGCACAATCCTTGTCTGAAAAATTTCCTCACAATCAGCCTAATTTATGACTACTTAGCTGCGGGAAAAGAGCCCCTGTTAAAGGGCCAAAGGCATGGTACTCTTTGGGGCTGTGATCCCTTTGCTCAGGGGAACATGATCAGTCTGCAGTGAGGTTGATTTGTGTCTACACATCCTTAACTTTAGGTCAGCAAGAAATCTCTTCATTAATTTCGTTGCCATGTAATCTTATATTCTTATTAGTATTTATCTTGCTGAACCTCCTGCTTCCTTCATCCTTTGTTGAAATGTGAAACACAATATATTACTCATTTCTAAAATAGGCAGTTTTCACCCTTTTCCATCTCTATTATTGAACTTCATATGCATTTGGCACTAGCTATGTGTTTCCTTTTCAGTATTTGTTGTTGGCCTTGTTGCAGGCTTTAATCTGAAATTCATTTTGCGCGCATGTTTTTTGCCTATTGCATTATTTTATATTTCCCTAGCAAGCCCATCTCTGGGCGTTGCTGCAAATACATACTTTTCTGGATAATCCTCCCAAATGATTGAAGAGTGAAATCCCTCAAGACTGAGGTGAAGTGACTGTCATGTGCTCCTTGTGTACTTTATGTCCCAGTGGGTTTCTAGCTTAAGTAGCCCTATCCCTTCTCCAGTGTGATGGTAATGGAGATTTCAAGCATGTGTGTCTTTCCACAGTTCTCTTGACTTCAGTGAATAGGCTAAGAGGTCTACCTGGGAGGCTCCTGGTGTTCAGGTGGTTTTGCCCTCTTTCCAGTGCTTCATTTTCAATGGCATTTATGTGAGACCATCAGTTTCACTTCTCTCTTTCACCAGCATGGGGGTATGGCTTGAATAGAAGAGATGCTCGAAACAAGGTGTGTGTGTAGAGTAGTCGAGGGGTTAACCAGACACAGTAGTAGCCAGCCATCCCCTCCTCAGATTATAGTGAGAATGTGTATAACTTAGTACTCGGTAGTGATTCTGTTGCAAGGAGTAAAGTTACTTCTGTTTGCAGAAAAGAGCCCCTGAAACATTCAAGTGCAGAGCAAAGATATTGACTGCTGTCACTGGCAGGCAGATAATTTCCATCACAATTGGTAAGATGTGATAAGATACTGGACTTGATGTTATAGGAAGAAGACATAACGAGAGTGCAGGCGTTGGGTTGCTGGCGTGATCATGGTTGGGCTTGTGTGTGGGTGCCCCACTGCAGCGTCTTCAGTAATGTCAGCCAGTTAAGCGTCTCTTTGTAATAATGTGCTTGTCCTACCACCACCACACTGGCATGGCCCTGTGTCACTGTACTATTCCAATGCCCCTCTTTCTGGGTTGGGCTGCATAGCATGAGAAAAAATGGCTTTGTTCGCTTTTCCTTTGACTGGCAGACTCAAATGTACTTGAGGGCTTCTGTGTGTTTGAGACATCTGTAAAGGCTTTGGGATGCTGCTGTTAATACAAATTGAATGTCCACAGTCAAATGTTCAGAACAGGCCCTCTCAGTAACAAACATCTATGTTATTTTACTTCTGCATTTGTGACATATGAAATGGAAAGTAGTAGCTGCAGCGCATCTATATAGATGTACAGTATTTATGGGGGATACCTGTTAATTTTCCATTTAATTTTGTTAATTCTCACCAGCCAAATGTTATTTACGCTTGTTATAAACTTGCAACATTGTCACTTGTTTCATTAACCTAACATAATGGCATTATGATACGGTTTTTGCGTCCTAGCTTTGGAGTTGATAGATGCTCACAGCTATCAATGTAACATCTCTCAGCTTCCCCACCTCTGTCACATCGCCTTGCGTCTCTCTGCTTTTTTTTTCCTGTCTTGCGCCTTTAAAATGATTCTTTTCCTAAGAACATGCCTACTGCTTATAAAGGAAGGGTATTGCCAGGGTAGATGACCGAACCCTCAGTGAGCTATGTGGTTGTATGGCAAACTGAATGGGGCCATAAGGCCTGTATGTGTGGTGGTCATATGTAAGCTAAGTCACTCTTAACAACAATTCATATCTTTTGTTAAGCTTCAAAAGTCGGGATTGTTGCCTTAAGAGAGGACTTTCATGCGAGGAGCTGGGAAATTCTGAGGTACAGGGGAAAAGGGAGTGCCACCCCATAGCTGGGCATGATAAAACAGTTTCTTATCACGTGTTGGTATGAGGCAAATGTTTGCCAGCCATACTGGAGTAGTTAACGTTGCAGCAGAAGAGCTGGGAGATGCAGTAGATTGTTTCTTTATAGTCCAGCTGGATTGGATGTTTCCATCAGGGACACTAGAGCTGCTTCTGGGTCCCTCTGTTTTCTAATTTGACCACCTTGAAAGGTAACTGCAGGTAGAGAGCGAGCCCTGGAGCAGTGGATATGGGTCTCTGCTATGGCCGTACTTTGGACATAGGAGAGCAGTGGTGAAGATCCTACACAAGGCTGGAGTGATGGGCCATCCAGGCTTGCTTTGGCAGCATGCTGGATTAGCCTCCTAAGGCAAATGATTATTAAATATATTCTTAATTATCTAATCAAGTGTAATGTATGTATATATGTTGTGTATGGTTTTTTTGTTGTTGTATATAGTAAATTTGAGGAGCGATTGCTTCACTGTTCAGGCACGTCAGTAAAAATTATAACTGGAAGCCGTAAAGAAATGTTTTCGAATGATTGC